ATTTGCACGCTTTGTATGAAGTTGGGGTTCAGTTTAGTCGACTGAACCTCTAGTCAAATGTAAAGCGATTTTCGCTCAGTTATTTCCTTTCTCTTATGTATTTATTTTGCATAACATTGGAGGTTCACTTTTGAACCGCTTGCACGCATTAATTTAAGAGTTATGATTATTTTACGTACATATTTTGCGGGGCTTGTTTGCTCTTTTATTTTTATATTTATTTGTATGTTTTGTGTTTATTTAATATTAAACATAGTCCCAATATGAATGTTATTTGATTTGCATGCTTTGTAAGCAGCGCGGTGCAGTTTTTATTCTGAACCTTAGTATATTTTAAGAGGAATGTGTTTTCTTTTTTATTAATTATAAGTAATGTTGGGTGTAACTAACATATGTATGTGTGATTTTGTTTGTATTGTACGTTTTGTGTATATGTTAATATGTTTGGAAAAGTTATTATAAAAAATGTTAAGTAGCAAAATAGCGAGATTATTTACCCAATAAAAAAAAGATCTAAAAAGGAAGCTTTGTTAAGGTGTTCAGTGAACACTCTGAACCATTCGACGTCTCGCCTCTATAATAGACATATATATATATATAAAAGAGAGAGGTTTTAAAAAGTTTTAAAATTTTTTTTAAAAGATATTTATATATATATATAGTTGATAGAATAGACAGATGAACAGCAAACCAAAGATGGTTGCCTCAACAAGTGGCAATGCAGACAGTACAGACAAAGAGGACTTGACAACCAAAAATTTTGTTTAAATTTCACCTTAAACATAGTTTTTTTTTAAATTCTTAAAATAGATTCTATTTTCACAAACAAAGAAACGTGCACCGACCTTCAAGATTTTTTTATAATCTTTAATTAATAAAGATTACCACCGCGCCGCGTGCATGGCACTCCGAGGTATTTTTTAAAGTTTTTTAATGTTTTCCGCGACATTTTTTTTTGTTAAGAGTTTTGGTTTTTTTTGTTTTTTTTTTATCAACACGTTTAAAATTTTATTTTTTTGCACAAATTTTATTTTTATTAAATAATTTTTAATTGACACTCACGTCATGTGTAAAGAAGCCCGGAAACTAAACATAAAAATGTGATCAATTCCCAATACGCATAATTCATCCAAAATGATATTCCAGCGGAGAATGGAATACCTTGCAATTGTTGTTGCATCAATTGCAGGTACTTGTTTTCTTGGCAGAGCGCAAATAATTTTTTTGTGCGATTTTTTTTTCTTTTATTTTTAACAAAAGTTTTTTTATTATTTTTAAGATTTATGCGAACAATTAGCAATAGTGATAGGCAAAAACAAATATCATCTTTATTGGAATCTTTATGCAAGATGAAAAAGATGTTTATATTAAGGTGAATGTACTTAGGACTTGTAATTTCCAATGGAGAAGGAAGCTATGACCTATATCAAGGTGTGCAAACATATAGCTTGGCAGACAGACAAGATGACAAAGTTAGAGAATAGTTAGTAATTTGTTTGAGTTTGTTTTTTTTTTTGCTTGCAGCTACGATAAAATTTAGTAAAAGTTTATGTGAGGTAGAAGGCATAAATATTTTTTGTTTTAGAATTTTGTAACCTACGGCTATGACTTAAAACTCCGGAGGAGTTTAGTTTTAGGTAGTAGGTGAGTTTTTTTTTTACTCTAATGATTACGACACAAACTGAAAGTAAAACAGTTGTGTTTGCGATAGAAAGTGTAATTGGCGTTGATTTCTGCTACGACTTTAAAATACCGATGGGATTAAGTTTAAGGCAGGAGGCTTTGGTCAAAATTGTTGTTTTTTTTAAATCTATAGCTATAATAGAGTATGAGAAGAGTTTTTGATTTGAGGTAATAGGTATGAAATATTGTGTGTGTTATTCAGTAACTAGAGTTTTTTTCTGCTACAAACTAAATCTGAATAAGTATAGTGTGAGGCAGGGAAATTGAGTAAATTGTTGCTACAACAGAGATTCAAGTAGAGTTCTGTTTGAGGTAACCTACCTATTGTGTGGGTAAATATTAGAAAGCGGGTATGAGTGAATGAAGTATGGGTCTGAACAAGTACGAATGAAACAGTTAATGCTACCAAACAATAGAAATCTCGGTAGGTTTGTGAGGCTTACAGTTAATTGGTATCACGCATACATTTTCTATTAGGGATCGGTATTAAATTGAGACGTGATACTAATTGAATGTTTGAGATGTTGAAAGTAAGAGATGGGTACTTGGACGAACGTGAAGACAACATTGCACCTATATAACAATGAATTCTATTTTTCCCTAAAACAAGGCACTGAAAATCCACCAATAAACGCCAAATTTAAATTATATTTATCTGTCTTATTTTTTTTGAATTTTTTTATTAAATTAATAATATTAAAATTATATATTGTGGTGTGAACTGCAACTCATTTTTAAATAAAATAATATTTGTTGTTTTATGGTAAAAAGCGTTTATTAATTATAGCATCCACTCGGTATGCTTATCTAAAATTGAATGTATACTTATGCTCTGCTTCATAAGCTTAGAGCTAAACTTAACTTACAATAATAGCTTACGTTAGCACTTATTATGTATCTAAGGGAATGGTAAAGCATGCATACATAAAATCTTATCGCACATAGCGTGGTTTTAAATAACATGAAGGCATTGCTGCTTCATGTGTGCTTAAGCAACAGGAATGAGCTGGCCAGGCATAATTCATGTAGCTGTGCGTTACTAAGTAAATTATATAGTCTTTTAGACTATTTAGCAACAAAGTATATTTATTGAAGTTGCTTTATAAATGTAAATGTATGCATACTACAATATAAAAAAAAAAAATTTTTTTATTTTGTTTCAATTTTTTTCATTTATTGAATAATTATTGAATTAATATTAAAATTTTATATAGAAAAAAAATTTTTTTTATTTCACCTTAGGTGAACATACAGGATTTTATTTCTATTTTCTACCGATAACAAGAAATTTAAGTAAGAGTGGCAAATAGTTCCTATGGAGCCGAAACCAGCAGAAGAGTTAGTAGACATGTTAGCAAGTAGTACCGGAACTAGGGCCAAAATACGAAAAGCTACGAAATCAGCATAAGTAACCGATTTAGAAGCGGTACCTGACAAAACTGCACAAGCACGTAGTAGTGAGCAGGCTCAATTAGTTAGTTCAGGCATAAATAGAAGGCCAAAAATAAGGAAAATAACCCAAGCTGAAAAAGATTTTGAAAAAAATAATATCCAAAGGTCACTGAGTTTTGACAGCAAAATAGACCATTTGTTGTTAATGGAAAGTAGTGAAATGAATCAGCCAGCTAATATGAAAGGTAAAGGGGAAGATCAATATCGAGAAACCTCAACAGGTACAGATACAGGACGCAAGTCTGAAAATGAATAAATAATGAATTCAGTAGCTGTAATGATGAGGCAGCAACAAGAGTTTTTATCGAACTGCATGCAAGAGATGAAAATGGAAGTCATAACTCAAACAACCGTCTACAAGAAATGGAGCAAAGATCTAATCAGACCACGCGAAACCACTTAGGTAACCAGGAGATTCAGCGGGAGCAGCACTTAGCATTTCCAATAGAAAGAGGGATCTAGAACGGTGGCATTTGAAGTTCGACGGTTCGAATAAAGAAATGACAGTAGAAAGCTTTGTGTTCAGAGTCGAGAGAATGAAAGAACAACACTCAGTTACAGATCAACAACTTTTTACGGACTTCCATTGTCTGTTGACTGGGGGATCACTAAAATGGTACTGGCAACAACTAGAGTACCATGAAGGTAACCGATGCTTCGATTATAGCAGGGTTCAGAAAAACACTGTGCTGTGCACAAAAATGCAAAACACCACGCACAAATGTTGTGCGATTCTAAATAAAATTTCACACCACAAATGTGGTGTGCGAAAATTTTTGTGCAATTCTTAAATGCTACATCTTGTGTGCACAAACAAAACGCACATTTCAAAACGCATAAAACTCGCACACGCAAACGTTGTTTGTGCCGAAGTTATTTCGCACAGCACATTGTGTGTGCGGCAGCCAGCTTACCTTCGCACACAGCGTGTGCAGAAAAGAATACAAGGAGCACATTTTGTGTGCACCCTCGAAAATAAAAATGCACCCAAATGTGCGGAGACGAAATGTCTACTGCACATTTGTGTGAAATGATGAGTTAAAAGCGCACAATATTATGACAAATATCGCAGCAAAATAGTACGTAAAACTGATTTGTATTAATTTTGGTCTTAATAGGAAATATTTTATTGAAGAAATGATTTTGTATTTATATTTTAATTTTGAATTTATTATTAGATTTACATTTATTGCTTATATTACTTATTATTTTAAGGATTATTAATTTAAAACATGGGAATAAAGCTAATTCCACAATGTACTTGAAAACTTTGTTATATTAAATAGGTACATGAATTTAATAGAGAAAGAGTATTTGTTTCGAAATGTTATAAGTAAAGAGGATCGGTTCTTCGGATCGTACTTTGAAAAAATTAAATATATCAATTTTGGACTACTTCATAAAATTTTATTTAATAGTAACTTGTACACTAAGATTCGTTAGTAAGGTTATAAAAAGCAAATTAAATATTTTTTACAACAAGATAAATTAATTTTGTTATTAGATTTCACTTAATTTTTTAACTTTAATTACAGCTTAAATTTAACGAGGTTATTGAAATAATTTAATAATTTAATATCTTAATTTCTTATTATAAAATATATAATTTTTATTACATATTTTTTGAAATAAATTTTCATTTGTAATATAATCAATCTAGCAACCTTTTGGTTTTGACAGTAAATAAGAAGTCAGTTTAGTTTTAGGTTTGATTTTAGGTAAAAAGGTGTGAGATAATTTAAAAAAAATTGGAATAAAGGTTTGTAATGTTATAATAAAATATCGCAAGATTCCTGACATAAAAACTTCAGAAGTGGGATTTATCAAATAAAAATTATTTTTTTTCGTGTTATTTTAAATTTGATATGGAGAATCGCATGAATCGCTCAGAGTTGCAAGATGTTTTAGCGGCTGTTGGCATTGAGGTTCAGCCACGAGCAACTACTGCACGGATGCGACAAATATTTGCAGATAATCGAAGTACGCTGGAAGATTGTATTGCTCGTCGTCTAAGTAATGTTGAAGGCCTCAGCAAACAAACCGCTGTTAGCTCCTCCTCAGTCGTCACTACCGCTGTCACTACCTCTACAATTGCCGCCTTTGGAGACTCCGCAAGCCGTGAGAGGTTAGTTGAAAGAAATGCTGTGCATGACGACCATGACCAAGAGCTTGCTGATTTACGCCGTCGCCATGAAATTCTTCGGTTGCGGTGCGAAATTGAGGAAATGGAACACCGAAATGAATTGGTACTAGTGTGCAACCAATACAACAGCATAAAATACATTTCCAAGATATTGAGCATGCTATAATAAAATTTAGCGGAGAAGACCGCACATACTCAGTTCATGACTTTTTCCGTCACTTGGAACAAATTTTTGAACAAGTTGGTGCAGATGACTTATTTAAATTATTGGCGTTGCGCAATTCGTTAACTGGTGCTGCGAGATTGTTACTAACACGAGGTTATTTGACGTATGAAGAGTTAAAGCAAAAACTTATTGGTGAGTTTGGACGAACAATTAGCCGTCAGGAGGTCTATCAGGCACTTCGCATGCGTACTAAAAAGCCAACAGAGAGTGTCCACCGTTATGCGATGGAAATGGAATCTATTGCTCACCGCAGCGATGTTATGGAGTTGGAATTAGTTGCTTTTATATTAGAAGGTTTAAGTAATCGTATTCCAGACTTCGTTTTGTTTAACACTGCTAAGAATTTAAATGAACTAAAGGGTGCTGTTGCCATGTTCGAACAACGGCAGGCTGTGCGTGGTGTAGCCAATAAACAAGATGCCAACCGTGAAACGAAGACTACAGTGAAACTTTCATCTGGTTATTTTGCTGACAATCCAACGCAAAATGCAAACCGCTGCTTTAATTGTTCTAGATTTGGTCACCGTCGTCCAACATGTCTGTACGAGGAGCGACCGATTAATGGTTGTTATAACTGCTGGAAGAGTGGCCATAATCGCAAGTCATGCCCGAATCCAAAGTACACACCGAAACTTAAAAGTGCTACCTCTGTTGCTATGACCATGGATTGTGCAGAAGATACTAATATTGTCGATGATGTCGCATCTGCACTTGAGGCTATGAATTACGTAAGTGTTGTTTTTGATGATACAAAGTGTGGGCGTAACATAACCACAACTGTTTTATATCTTTTTGATACCGGCAGCTCAATTAGCTTAATACATAAATCTTCCGTCCCAGTAGCAATTCAAGAGGAGACAGATGAAACCCAATATTATGGCCTTGGAAAATTTAAAATTAAAACTTATGGTAAAATAAGTTGTATGATGATTTTTAAGAATAGATGTGAAAAAGTGTTATTGTTTGTAGTACCAGATAATACTTTACCTGTCCCGCTTCTACTGGGGCGAGACACTGCAAAAATTTCAAGTTGTTTTAAAAATTTTAGTAAACAGTCATAAAAAAAATATAAGAGAGTTGAAATTTTCCTCTACCACCCCGCAGTTTAAACAAAATGTTCCAGGATCCGCTTTGTTCACTGATGTAATGGAGAAAAGTAAGTTTGTTTTATGTAGTGCGACTAGCGACGCACGGGCATCTGATAGGAAACAAAATGAAATTAATCCTTTTGAAAATGAACTTAGGAGTCTGATGACGATTAATATTGATACAGATTCAAATAGCATTGATATTAATCCTATGTTAGAAAAATCCAAGGTCGAGGAAATAAGAGAAGTTGTATTAAATTATTTGAATTCACATTATGAAGGCAGGCAGGAAAATTATGAAATTAATATAAAACTGACCTCTGACGTGCCTTTCCACTTTGCACCAAGAAAACTATCCTTTGAGGAGCGTGAAGCATTACAGAAAATAATAAGTGACTTGTTGAAGAAAAAAATAATTACACCGAGTGATTCACCATATGCGTCTGCAATTGTTATGGTACGAAAGAAGAACGGAGTATTTAGAAAATGTGTAGATTATAGAGTTCTCAACAAGAATACAATTCGTGACAATTATCCCTTGCCATTAATTGAAACATGTTTGGAACACCTAGGCGGTAAAAAGTATTTCACGACATTAGATCTTAGAAATGGTTTCTTTCAGGTTAAGGTTGCGACAGATTCAAGAAAATATGCGTCTTTCGTAACTCCTCTTGGTCAATTCGAATACAATCGTATGCCGTTCGGATTAAAAAACGCTCCTGCTGTTTTTCAGCGATTTATTCATCAAAAACTGCAAGATCTAATTGCACAAGGTAAAATTATTGTTTATATGGATGATATTGAAGTAGCAACCGAAACTTTAGAGGAACATATACATGCATTAATTCAGGTGCTTCATCGTTTGGCTGAGGTCGGTTTAGAGTTAAATCTCAGTAAATGTAAGTTTGCTTGTGAGACCACCGAGTTTCTGGGTTATCAAGCAAGTGAAAAGGGTATTTTACCAAACAGCTCTCATTTGAAGGCGATTATGCACTACCCAATGCCGAAGACATTACACGACATGCGTTCATGTCTAGGAATGTTTTCATATTTTCGCAAATTTGTTCCAAACTTTGCTAAAATAGCATATTCGCTGCAGCGCCTCCTTAGGACCGGTGTTGAGTTTTGCATTAATGAGAAATGTAAGGAAGCGTTTAGATTATTAAAGCAAAAGTTGATAACACCACCTGTCTTGGCCATATTTAATCACACTAAAGAAACCGAATTGCACACTGACGCTAGCAAGTTAGGTTTTGGAGCAGTACTTTTGCAGCGACAAAATTTCATCCGGTATGTTACTATTCCAAAGCAACATCACCAGAGGAGTCAAGAATGCACAGCTTCGAGTTAGAAACCTTGGCCATAGTGCATGCTCTCAACCGTTTTGAAAACTATCTCAGAGGTATTCCATTTAAAATAGTTACTGACTGCAGTGAACTATCACCAACGTTTGAAAAGAAAAACATCAGTCCAAAAATAGCAAGGTGGGCACTTTTATTTGAGCACTTTGATTTTAAGATACAAAATCCAGGCGGTATTTCAATGAGTCATGCGGATGCATTAAGTCGATGTTTTAAAGGTGAAGAAACAGAGACGGAAGATTACTCTACGAGAATTAAAAATAAATTTGTAATGTGTACCTACTCTGAAGATGATACTGATATTGAATCTAATAAGCCTAATGAAATTGTTGAAGACTATGACGGCATGATAGGAATTCCATGTAAAACGGTGGCTGTTGCTTAGCATTAAGACTTAAATTTCAATATACAGGTTTTACAAAACCGCGATAGTGAGATTGTAAGATTACGAGAGCAATTGCAAAGCGAAATTGTTGACGGATACGAGCTAAGAGACGGGTTGGTTTTTAGAGTAAAAACAGATAATAATTTACAATTATATGTTCCAGCCGAAATGGAAGACAATGTTATTCGTCTCGTTCATGAAAAGATGTGCCATCAAGGAATAGATAAGACGTATGAGGAAGTTAGAAAGAACTATTGGTTCCGGCACATGTAGTTAAAAATAAAAAAGTTCATAAAAAATTGTCTGCGTTGTATAACGTGTTCCCCGCCAGCACGGGTAAATGAACATAATCTTTACAACATTCCAAAAAGCCTGTTCCGTTCGACTTTATTCATGTGAATCATTTTGGGCGTCTGCCATCAATTTAATCTGTACGAAAACATTTATTTGTAGTTGTTGATGCGTTCACTAAGTTTGTAAGACTTTTTGCAGTTAAGTCAACCAGTTCCAAAGAAGTAATAGCTCGTCTCGAAAAGTATTTTCAAAATGACAACCGCCCTAAAAGGATAATAAGTGATAGAGTTACATGTTTTACCTCATTAGAGTTTAGTGAATTTTTACTGAAGCATAATATCAATCATGTTAAGGTCGCGGTGGCCTCTGCTCAAGCCAATGGCCAAGTTGAAAGAGTAAATCGTGTTCTAAAAACCATGTTGAGTAAAATGACTGACCCAATTAATCATGCCAATTGGATGAGATTGTTACCAAAGGTGAAATTTGCCATTAACAACTCTACACATAGTTCATCTAAACAGACACCTGTTATAATAAATTTTATTTTGTAATAATAAATTTATTAATTATACATGCAGGATTACCATGTAATAATAAATTTGTTCAAGTACAAATTTATTATTTTTTTGAATCAGACTTTCATTCGATATAATATATTTCTTCTATTTTTAATTCAGCAGGAAGAAATCTGCAAATTAGTAGGCAACCGAGGATGTCGAGACAAAATGATTTGTGAGACTATTGTTTAAGCTGTTAGAGCTCAGTTTAAAATCTGAATTTTATTAATAATTTTCAAAACTATTTATACGAAATATTTTTTACTATAATTTACAAACATTTTTCCTAATAATTTTAATTGCGGCGGCACTAAAAAGGTTGACAAACGTCAATGCTTAGAAAATATTATGACACATTCAAATGTGTCATATCAACATGTGCGGAATAATAGCACAGAAAAGAAAAGTGTCAAATAGCAATTGCATACTTGCTATGACCAAATATTCTACTTGCATTGCGGTGGTTCTTCCGTGTGCGATCGCATTACATATTACATTAGTTAATATAAAATAATTTGTGCATAAGCACTTTCAAAAATACATAAAATAATTTATTGTTTGTTTTAGTTTACATTGGTTGCGCTATACACAATACCTCTACCCTTTTAAAAAACAATTTTATTTATATAATAAAGAAAATTTTTAATGATAATTTGAGCTTTGACATTGACAATTATTACAAATACCTTATTTATTTATTTCATGCACTTCTATATTAATTATTAATTTCTCTTTTGCTTTTTTTTTGTTTTTTTTGTTTAAATATTTACATTGTTATGTTTTGTGAATTTTTTTTTAATCTATTATTATGAACTATTTTTATTTTATCATTAATTTGAATAGTGAAACCGTTCCTATCAACTATCTTATATGGACCATGATATGGTTTCTCATGTTTCCTTCTATTTTCTACTCTTAAATAAACTAAATCTCCTACATTAAATAGATTGTCTGATGCATTAGCATCTTGTTTAATTTTTTGAGAATATTTTTCTTTTATTAATATCTCATTTACTGCTTTATGTGCATACTGTAGTTTTGTTTTTAACTCAGTAACGTAAGAATCATATTTATAAAATTTTCTATCTTATATTATCTCGTTTGGAAGATTCGCGACTAACTCGAAAGGTGAATAATTTGTTACACAATGAGGTGTAATATTATAAGAAAATGTGAAGTATGAGATCCAAGTATCCCAATCAAAATTGTTTATAAACGATAACATATGTATATTCGTTTAATACTCTATGGTTTCTTTCTATAGAACCTAATGTTTCGTGATGATAAGCAGTGGATTTTAAATGTTCTATACCTAATAATTTACATATATCATTTATTAATTCATTGAGGAATTCTGTATCTCTATCTGTTTTTATTTTCTTAACATTACCATATCTAAAAATAAATTGTTCTACCATGGCTTTTGCTATCTTTTGAGCTTCTTTTGTTTGTATAGGAAATGCGACTACATATTTACCCAGCGGCACCATTAGGCCAGCGCTGAAAAAGTAAGCGAGGAGGTAATAGCTCTTCGTTTTTATTTTTCTTTGTTTATGAAATTTGTCTTCGACATAGGCAAAATGGCGATTGAAATGAAGAAGAAAAGCATATGAGTTTAAGAAATTGTTGTTTTGCCAACATTGTATACATTTAGTCTGCTTTTGATTTTAGTGAAGTGCGTCAAATCAGTGCAGTGAACAATTTTTAATTTTTAAAATCAAAATAAAATCAAAAATATGAATAAAATATAATTTGTAATTTAACATAAACTCACTGTAAGTATATGCAAAATTAAGTAAATATATTTAAAATGATAATTGTGATTTTTGTTTTGTATTATGTAGATGTGCTGCGAATGCAGTCACTCTAAAGCAAGGATAAAATGCAGTCAGCTGCTTCAATTGGAACAGTTTCCAGTTTAATCTGATGAGGATTTAATTCAGTTTAACGAAGAAAGCACTGCCGTTGAAGTAGTTGTAAGTTAAATTATATATGTTTCTTACTTTCAATTTCAACTTATTAATATTTTCACATGTAACAATTTTACTAACTCATACATTTCTTTTCATCTATTTCGTTAATTATAGGCTGCATCAATGAGACACGTTATTAACAAACAACCAATAACGCGAAAGTTTTCGTGGATTTTTGGAGAAAGTATACTTATAAATTATAACTTCGATGGTACACAAGGCAAGAAGTCCTTAAGAGCGTTAAAGAATGTGACAGCAGCACTTTTTTGTATAGTATATTGTAAATAATTTATTTTAGCGTATACAATAACTTACTTTTGTATTTACAGACGATTTAAGGACAGATGGTAAGCCTGACCAAGTGATCGAAAATGAAATAAGGTATGCGTTTCGATCAGCCAAAAACAAGTACCACAAGGCGAGGAGTGTCCGGAAATCTGTTCAAGTCTCTAGTAACAATTCCACAGAATAATATATCATTATATA